TAGCTAGATAGTGCAAAATCATAAGGTTAGTACAACTTATTTGCTGCTTAACGTTACATTAGAGTACCTAACTATGAGTTAGTTATATTGAAATATTATGGTCGTATTCAAACATCACTTCCTTCTCCAAGCTCGGGACCGGAAAGGGTCTGATGGAGGAGGTGGGTCTGAGTCCCGAGCTCTGCAGCTCGACCTTTCTCAAAAATGTTTGATTCAAATGATCTGCCTTGAGACTTTGCTTCATCATGTAACTAATATACTGGTAAGAAGAAAGGAAGGAAGGCCGATGAGTAAAAGTTCAAGGTGCCAAAAGACCGCACAAAGTTTCATAGAAGGGATTTTACAATTCTGGAAAGTTATCACAGTAGAATTACACAATTCAAATCTTCCTGGAATGTGTGTTTACGTGTATTCGATTGGCCAATGCAGTAGGTTTCCGAATGACATCACATTGCGGTAAAGGTTCAACCAAATTACTTTTTTTTATTTTCCCAGAGGATAATTGAAATAAATGAGGAGGCTGGGTTTTTATATGCAGTCCTAATGGATTTAAAATACCAGTCTTTAAAGGCATTGTACCACAAAGGCAAGGCATGGCACGTTTACTCAAGTTTGTTTGTACAGTACCTTTGAAACACAGAAGCAATTTAAAGAATGTCATAACAGGCATTAAATCTTCAATTAAAAGATAATGAGAAGGACAATGAAAGATATTAAGAGTGTGTAACAGCTGTCGAGTATTTTAAAAGGCACCTGCTGATGGAAGGTGTATCTGTTGAACAAGAGTGTCATGCTCATGCTGATTTAAAAAGCTCAATGTTTTCAAGGGTGCTAATTGTCAAACCTCTTGATAATGATGCCAATCTACCTTTACCTGACATGACTCACTTTTGTAACATTCATATGATTTGGTCTATACGAAAGTGTATGAATGTTATTGTAGATTAAAACAAAACTAATAACGGAGCTGGGGGAAGGGGGTAATATTCGCAGTAAAAACTCAGAACATCTGCGATTAAAGTCGTACATTTACTCTCTGATATTCACTGAGAGTCGAGCGGTAAATTTACAAGACTCACAAATATACAAACAACCAAAAAAACAATTTGAAAACACAAAAGTTGTGCAAAACCTTGGTAACGTCAGCTGCCGTCTACATTTTGTTGCACCTAAAAGAGTGTATTTATGGTAAGGGTGGGCTCTGAGAGGCGAATATTCAAGTTTCTTTCTCGTATATTTGACAGTTTTATCTCGATAAATGTCATTTTTTTCTCTCATTAATTTAACACTTTAATCTCCAATAATATGAGATTTTTCCTGGAATATTACCCCCTCCCCCGGCTCCGTAATATTTTGGTTAGACATTTTGACCTCCAATGGCCCTCGTACGGTGTCGTAGGTCTATCACCTTGAGTTGGTGTGTACATTTTTCACATATTTCAGTGCGGCATGTTTTAAGTTTGTAATTTATTATCTTGCTTGTTTTTGTTCATGCAGCACACATGAACAGCAGCCATTCTTCCAACTTCTTCTTAAAGAGTCCTGATCCCGCCAGTACCGACTGTACCAGCAAGAAGATGTTAAGAGAGTCGGTAAAACCATTCATGCAAATGTATAAAATATGAGTCGAATCCTTGTGCAATACTCTCTTCTCTTCTTTGTGTCACGTTCTTATTTGGAAAAGAGAAATGAGAAATGATATCTTCAACGCCTCAGCAAGAAGGAAGGAAGGGGGGGGGGTGGTTCCTCTAACACTCACCGCTACAGCGGTTTCACACCACAGACACATCTCCTTTGTCTGCTGTAACAAAGAGAATTCAAATCAGAAGACAGATGGTTATAGATTACTTCCTCTTCCTCCTTCCCCAGAGATAAATGAGAGGGATAAGCATGCTCACACTCACACGCACACGCACACACAGAGATCCTTGTCTCTAGCCTCTGCCTATTTACTCAGCCTCGCAGGTCCTGTTGTCCCACTGCTTTACATACATTTGACAGTTGGTAAAACTAGTTTTTGCACTTCCAACAAGCACTAATCAGATTCACATCAGTCACCAACTCAGCTGATGCACTTTACTTGTTTTCTTGTTATGAATAAGCCGCTCAACACTGTGTTTTTATTATTGACATCCTTCATGCTCCTCATTAGAGCAAGTTTGGTCTGATCTGGAGGGTTTTAGCGTGACGGCTTAAACAGTTTTAGGAAAGCTCCTGCCTGTGAACCTCGACCCTTTGAAGCTCGTGACCTCCTGGTCCAGGGGTCAGGAGGTTCTTTGCCCCAATGCCACGATGACATCCAACACCTTTCCCCCACCAGCTCCGAGAGGCTCGGCTGCATCCCAAACCAAAGGACATATAAACGGAATTTAAACTGTAGCAGGTTTATGGATGTGTCACACACCCAGTGAGCAAATACAGACCGCACACACGTCTGAGCTAAGAAGTTCCACTGTGACGAACCCACAAAATGTTGGAAACACGTGTAAAGAAAGCTGCTCACTCTCCTCCACCTGCACAGAATGCATCTTTAAACCCCCTCTCATGTATTAAATTAGTCTCATCTTTTACAACAGTCACCCTTCTTTGCCCTCCAGCTCCACTTGCTTCCGCTTGTTATGCTAATGCAATTTATCTGCTGCTTCCACCTCTCCTAATTAATCCCAAACTAAAAGCAGTAAGCACATTTGTCAGACATTCCTTCAGGGGGGAGGTGGTGTGGTCGGTAGGAGGTGCATCACCTCATCCCCTCTTGATTTTAAAACTCTTTCATTCCCCTTCCCTCTAATCTTATGAAGAAAATAATGAAGCTTACTGAAGATCATGAAAAGGTGAAATGTGGAGTTTCTGGAGAAACAACATCTGCCTACTACGGTCGATTAAACTTCACAGAGAAACTTGAAAGCACAAAATCAAACGACGAAAAAGAGGAATACCCCAACTTTTATCATTTAATTGCTTTCCAGTTTGTTCAAATCGCTACAGTCTCTAATCAAAACAAGCAAGAGGGAAATGAAAGGTGAGAGGGTGGACAGAGGCTGTCGAATAGTTAAAAGAATTGCATCCCATATCTTTTGCTAATCACTTTTCCTTGACATTAATGGAAATCGTCATTAGGTCAAGGAAGGAGGAAGGACAATTCAGTGACAGCAAGGATTCCTGTCCAAAACAGGGTCACACTTCCTAAGAAGAATGTTTTCAATCTATCCATAGCGTACAATTTAACAGCGACTGTGAACGCTATTGAGGTCCGAATGATGCGTCACTTTAGACTGTTGCTGCAAGGAAATGTGGGACGGAATTTTCTACTTTCTTTTTGTAAAGGATAGTCCAGTGCACCCCATGCTAAAGGAGGTAAGAAAGGAAGCATTGAAGCGCCTTTCCTTAGCATTTAGAGAATTTGACTAGCTCTTATCACGCAGCCATGGTAAGAGAGAAAGACGGGGGGAGGGGGGACAGGAAAGGTGAGGAGAGGGACAGTTTGTGTAAACCCCACCTAAGGGCTGGGGGAGTTTAATGTGAGTGTGTGTGCGTACGGGGTAAAAAAGGACCAAGAGGGCAGAGGTCAAAAGTCTGGAGGACAGGAAATTAGCCACACCTGAGGATTAACAGAAAAGGCTGTTTGAAGCACTTAAGACTGCTACAAGACACACCAGCACGTCCGTCTGTGTGTAGTCAGTTTAAGACTGATGAGACTACAAAGCTTTTGTTTCAAATGTCAAATATAGCCAGTCAAAAAGCACAAAGACCTGGTGTATATATTTTTTATAAAAAAAATCACATGTTAGTGATAGCTGGATATCAATTGAGGAGACCAGTCATTCCTTTGTCTCACCCAGTCCAGTCAATCTTCATATCAAGCGTATTCCCTCCCCCCCTACTCTCTAGCAACATGGTGGGGCTCTGCTTGGCCTTCATCCATTTCCGTCTGTCAATTAGCCAGAAACCAAATCGCTCTCCGTCTCTGTGACAAGACAAAGACTGCAGCATCACATCCAATCCCTCACGCTGACACGGGGACGCTCTGAAAAGTCCCACAGATACTCAAACACTCAATTTTTTCACTTACTACACGCGGTGGCCAATATATCCCGATAACACATAAATGCATGTGTCTCACTGCTACTCTCCAACATTTAGGATCAGTTGGTGCGTCAGCAGTGTGGTGTATTGCACAAAGCACAGTTACGATCATAATGTCTTTGTAATGGTACAAGTATGTGCAATATCACTACTGTGAAATAGAGAGACATATTTTGTTTTATTAAGACATTAAGCAATAGACAGGATATGATGGTATTTCAGCTGTTTCTCATTTTTTCATTTGATTTTCAGTCAACCAGAACAGAGACATTGCCATTTCAACCAATGCTCTTCATTTTGCTTACAATAATTTACTGTATTTCTCTGATACAGTAGATATTCTGTAAATTGTACAGAATATGCTGAATGTTGTTAATACTGCTGACAGCAAAATACTGTTATTTCTGAATTATTACAGCAAATTACTGTATTCTTGTGCTACAGTAGAGATACTGTAGAATGCACAGTAGCTTACTGGCAAAACTGCTGCCAGTAATCTACTGTAATTTTACAGGTTCTCCACTGTATCAAAAGAATACAGTAAGTTAATGTGATCAACGCAATACATTTCACTATTCTCTTCACATGTATTTCAACCAAGGCTAGCGGCACCGAAAGAGGGCTGAACAGAATTTCAACTTCCAGTAAACAAGACAGTGTGACAAAAATATTGTCTATTTTCTGCACTGACGGAAGCAGGAAACAAACCAGGAAGCATTACAGTCTACAAACACATTAGCTAACTATATTTACTCCATATGCCTGAACTCCCACAACTTCAGCATGTGTCAATAGGTGTATGAAGGCACTCTGTGAAATGTAGGTAATCAGTAGAAGTAGCTGAATACATTCAAAGATCACCATGGTCACCCTTGTTTACATGGCAAGAGAAAAAGCGTGTGCTGTTTCAGACTTACCTGTCGGCATCCCCTTGTCCTGACGAGGTGTTCCGGTGGAGTGTCTCTCGGACAGCGGCCATGCTGTCGGGCAGGCGGTTCAGGCGTCGCGTGTACAGACCCAAACCTCCGTCGGTCATGTAGCTGCAAAACACAACAAAACACGTTAGATATTGTCACCATGAAGCAGTTCTAAGGCACACAATTAAAGGGCTCACAGAGGACAAATTCAAGTTGTGCAGTACAGTACCACACTTTGTCTAAGACTTTGGCCAGGGTTAACACAAACTCTTCGTTTATTTCTTCTCAGAGCTGCTGTTGTTGTATAAAGATCAGGAAGAGCCCACATCTATGTAGTTTTCCGGCCGAGGCAAAGCTCTCATCAATCACAGTTGGCAAAGAGCTCCCACACAAACACCGAAGACACATTTCTCTCATGTGGCCAGATGGCAAACAACAGTGGTCTGTGAAAGTAGTGGCAGTTCCATAGACAGCAGATGAGCCTGTTCATTATTCCTACAAGAAGGGTATTGCACTCATCACCTTCAGAGTCTATCATCAACTCCAGGCTGGAAATTATGATTGACTGAGTGGCTGAACATTAAAAGAAGCTAAAAATACACTGTACATGTAAGTGCAGGCTAAGGAGGCCATTCACGTCATTTCATAACGGAAAATAACTTTTGAATGGACTTGATTTATTGGCAGTTGGAGTCGGAGGCTGACCGTTCCAGTCTGGAGCTGATGCTGAGGCCCTGAACACTTACACAAACATTCCCATTCAAACTAAAACAACACCAACTAATTCCCTAAATATTTACCCGTGGAGGAGATTCCTAATGGAACTAAATATTGACTCATTTCACCCAGGTGTAATTTAATGAAATGTTTGTAAAGTCGAGGCCGGAGCGCTCAAATGCTGAATGCCTTCTGTGTGGGGCTGTGATGATTCTGTTTCTGCAGTTGAGTGAGTAGAAAAAAAAGAAAAACCCTGCCAGAGTTCGACCACTAAACACTTTCTGTGTTATCTCTCTGTCGATCTCAGCAAGAGGCAACCCAGCACGCACACAAACAGACATTTATACCTACATGTATATACAGTATACACAGAGTACAGTGTTTAAAATAGACAGTGCTCCTTTGTGTAACCTGCAGTCAAACAAAATCAGCATCTGAGCTGCGAGACAGAAACTTAACGGCAACCAGAAGTCACTCAGCGGAGAGCAAACCTGAACAGATGCTGGACAAACTGCAGACTTTACAATGTTTACAGCTGCAACTTTGATTAGGAATCAATTTAATTGAAAACTAAATATTTAAAGTTGCAATAATTATGTTTTCTCTGGGCCACTTTTATGCACAAAACAGACTGAAAAGCTGCTACATGTAGATGTTTAATTTCTTCACATGGTCTGTCTGGGTTTATCTGAGTTTTGAGTTTCTTTCTTTTACTCAACACAGCTGCTGCTGGAAAAGAGGTTGATGAGAGTTGAGTTTGCAGCCTGGAAAACCTAAACAATGTGCTAAAAGAAGCTCTGTAGAGCTGAGGGAAACTGCAGAAAGGGGTGAGAATTCACTGGTGATATAGAACAGATATAAAGCAGACTGGGACTGATTTGTTGTACCCAACAGCATGTGAATGCTGTTTTAGAAGCAAACCAGAAAACACCAGATGTTGTACTTTCTCACCAGAACATGAATGCAGTACAAAGGCTGTGGCTACTCTCTCAGGTCATCTGGTAGCAGTCTGCTAACCATTACCCAGAGTCCAAACTAAACATGGAGATTCAGCATTTTGTTACCATGAACCAAAGAGCTGGAACAAACACCGTGAAGAGAGAGGAGGGGCCTGATTTAGGCATTAAATCCAGCTTAAACACGTTTATATTCTCAGCTGCCTGACAGGAGAGACACTACAGGCAAAGACAAAGACAAAGATAATTTTTTATGTACTGGTCAATTTTGAGATTGTGGTCTTTTTTGCTTCCATAACACATCTCCTTTCAGACTAGTGTAAAGAAAACATCAACAATACACATTTAGGTATTTGTTTTACTATTTTCTCTGTGTGCGTCTGTAGATTTCTCCTAAATCCACCAAAGGTTAGCATTAGATAATGCCTCATTTTCATTTCAAACAAAACATTTCAGAAAACCTTTTTACCTTAGTCACCTGTATTTTCTTCAAAATGTATGGAATTTAACAATACGTATCTTCAAAGACAGTTTTCTCTAAATACGTTTTTTTCTCAGACTCTGGGTGTTTGTGTCTTATGCTGTGGCTATTACTTGTTTACACGGTCTTACAACCATCATTTAAAATGTTGGGTAAACAGTGGTAAAATGGGCAAAGTTGACAACAATTAAAGTTAAATAATAATGATTAATGGACCACCAGTCACTGATATAAGACTTGTTGTGAAGCATATTTTCACAATAAGAGAGCCAACAGACAATGAAGACAGGTGAAGAATGGTGGGATCCTCCTCTGAGGGGGGTTAGCCGTCCTTTATGGGAAGCATGCATCATCCCAAAACAAAGTCACCTTGAAGATGACCGGGCAGTCACACTGACACACACAACCATATTAATCCTTCACACTAATGAGTCACTGAGCCTCCCTGTCCTGCTGTTTCAGATGCCGGTTAACCTGTAACCTTCTGCAGTGGGAGGAACGTGTCCAAACAAGACAGTTTATGGGCTGAAACCGAGCAGCCAGGTAGAGTTTACACAGTCACGCAACAAACAGAAGCAAAACTTCTTAAGTAAATGAAGCTGCAGAAATATTTGACTTACTATAAATGCACGCACTGTGCAACTGACCATAGGAAATTCACAAAATGTCACGGTCTGGAAAAAAAACAATAACGTCGAGAGCTTCTGTTTCTGTTTGTTTAAATCTAGATAGTTTAAAACACTCTGACGTACCTTTCTGCCTCAAACATGGTAAAACAGTTAGTCCAAAGCAAAAATAAACAAGTCCAGGTGAGTGTTGATCCCCGTTGATACAAATCTCCAAAGCAAAGGTGTCCGTTTTCAACCGTCTGGCTACTGTCTGACTATCAGGTCTGAACCTGCGTGTGAGTTCTGCTGTTATGTGAATAGTATCAGCAGGTGAGAGCGTGTTTGATCATGGTGATATCAGAAGTGAGTGAGCGGTATCAGTGAACTCTACATTATGTGTCCAGGAGTAGCCTGAGCATGTGTGTGTTGCTCTGTGTTGGTATGCAGCCTCCCTCCTCAGCTCCACATGCTCTCCTGGCAGGAGGTTGGGTCTAGCTGCGAAGAGCGGAGGAGGGATAGGAGGGAAGGGGGAGGAAGGGGCGGAGGGGTAAATCTGAAAACATACCCCCGAGCTGAGGAGGCAACGAGGGGGGGGGGGTGTTCCTGGTCTCCAAGGGCCAGTGAAGCCGAAAGGAAAAATAGAGGAGGGGGTTGGAGAGTGGAGAAAACCGATGCAAACACTAAATATGTCATCAGTCATGTTGTCTCTGCTGTAGGACTCAGAGATGACTAAATCAATTAACTAGTGAGACAGACAGCAGCTTATCTGATCTCTGTCTACTGTTATGAATAATTGTTTTCATCAAATATTCAGCACTCAGTTGTTTTGTTTGTTGAACCGATTAATCATTTTGTCCATAAAATGCCAGAAATAGTGAGAAATTCGCACTATTTCCCAGAGCTGAAGGTCTTGACGTTGCTTTGTTTTGTCTGACCAACAGTCCAAAACCCAAAGATAGTAAATACATAGCACTGAATATAGTATAGATATAGAATCAGAATACACTGGTGAAAACAAGTACATGTTTACTTAATAAAAGACAAATAATGAATTATCCTGTCAAGCAACTACTTGATGAATTACCCTTGTGCTTACAGCATTGATAGATGTCTTTATCAGGGCATCTGGAAGATTGATAGGAACTATTTCTTAAGTAGAAAGTATTTAGATGTAAACTGATCAACAGACATTGTGTCTGGAGAGAGATGAAGCCCTTGAATTTTCTCCATGTAATTGTATTAAGGCTGTAAGTACCACAAATTAAATTACACTCACCTCCATTGTTTTGAGGCGAAAGCATGCACTAGAGTGACCGATATCTAAAATCCTGGACCAACAAAACCAGAATCTGTATGGCTACTGATACTACTAGAGGTTAGAAAATGTTTGAAAAAAATTGACATTTAAGTGGAGGAAAGGAGTTGAACTGTGAGAGTCTCCTGTTGCAATCTAAATACCTGCTCCTCCTCTCTTGGCTAACATCTCACCCCTGTTTGGAAGAACCAGTGAGTGGATGCTAACAGGACCATGATGGAGCTAACCGCTAAATGGCCCGAAGATGTGGAGAAGGGTGGGGGGGACGTCATCAGTCTGTGTCTGTTTAAGATGGTTATTAAGATGGTTAACCCATTGCAACTGCCTTTTTTTCGGAAAATCATCAGAAGGAAATTATTTTTAATTTGCCTTCCTCGCAGGTCCGATCCCGGCCTGGATATCAAGTTTCAGAGCGAGCAAATGGCTCTGCTCACCAGCTCACATCACTCACCTGTCCAGGTGTGGCTGCGGCTTGGCCTTTGTCTGCTCAGGCACAGATTCAGACATATCAAGTACTTCAAGAGCACTTAGCTCCCTCGACTTCTACAGCGGCCTCAGGGCTGGGCAATCAGCGCAAACCCATGGAGGACAGAAGAGGTAATCCCATCTCATGTTTTTTTATCACCTTGCTTCCCTGAGCCTTCAGACTCTTATCCATATTTGCATTAATTTGAACTCAAACAAATCCCTGCAGCAGCTCTATCACCAGACCTTTGTCTTTCGATGCCATATGAAGGCGGGTTGGAACCTTTCACAACAGTATCTGATAATAATGATGACAGCAGAGGTTTAAATTGCACAGTGTGACAGTCAAAGTATGCAGGGGGGCCTGTTACAACACGGATACTAGCTCTGGAAGAGCAAATAAACAGGTTATCAGCGTATTAGCATTACTGCGTCGGCAGACAGAGAGATGGGCTACTTGTGGGATCTGAGCTGTACAGAACCGTCGGATATCATCCGGCACTTGGATCACAGGCAGGAAAGGTGAGTAAGGAACACTACCGCCCTCTTCTGGCAAGCTTGTATTTCAGACAACTCACAGCCTATGGGGTCACATCACATGGTCAACCATAACAACATATTTCAACCAGCCAGAAACATCTAACTATAAACACATGATGCGCTCATTATAGTGGCAAAAAGTAACAAATTAACACGTTTCAATACTGCATTGCCAAATAGCTAGTACACTGTTATGCTAGCAGAGGTGTAGAGGAAATTAGTTGTTGGTTCATCTACCAAGGGATGTCAAAATAAATAGACTTTCTACCAAAAATCTATTTTAATTGACAAAATTTATAATACAATACTGTATGTCACCCTGCAGGTGTTTGATGGTTTTGAATACAGAATCAGATACTATGTTCTCTGGTTTACTCAGAGACAGTGGATCAAATTACAGAAGAATCATTTGAAGTTATATCTTGAAAAATGATGTGTCTCTCTCACAAAGATTGCATTCGTTGCATGGTGCAATTTCTGGGACTGCAACTAATTGCTGTCAAGTAATTTTCCTTTCGAAGTGTTTGTGGGATGAAAAAGTCTCCATCAGTGTAATCCACTTACCCGCTGGCGACGTCATCAGTGCGTGCAGCATTCTTGCTCAGCACGTCTCCATCGCTCATGTATCCAGTGACGTCCACGTCGATGCCGTCCAGGTCAATGTCCTCCCCGGCTCTGTCTCCCAGGTCCACGCTGCAGATGGCTCCTCCCCTGCCGGCCAGCTGCCGCCGGAGGTGCCCAGGGTACAGGTAGCGCCCCGTCGGGCCGCCTACCACCCGGCCGCCGTAGTTGTTCCCCAAAGAGGGGGCGTCGCCCGCCTGCAGACGAGGGCTGGAGTGGCCCAGTCGCCATGATGACAGGGAGGGGCGGGTGGAAGTGAGGCTGAGGATACTCCGACCCCCTCCACTGGTGTTGCTGCCACCACCAACACCTCCACCACCTCCACCACCGCTGACATCTGTGGTGACGCTGCCATCGAAGGTGGTTTCCAAGGTGCTGAGAAGAAGGAGACAGAGAGAATAAAGGTGAAATCTGTGATCCATCAAAGGGAAGCCCCATTAAATCTGTTGTTAATCAATTCATCTGCAGTAGTAGAAAAAGCCATGATGCTACTAAAAGAATAAACTGAGCACAGAAGGTACATGAAGAGAAGAGACCTCTAAATGCAGTTCTGAGCTAATTTAATGGATGACTTAATGACTGATTAAGTCTCCACTTATTGTTTCAAAGAGTAGAAATGTAAAAAGTTATCTCACATTAGGGATCACACATTTGGATCACAACCAGATCAATTGTTTCTTTGCTCAAGGCCGATGTGTCCAACAAATTCCACAGAAATCTGTTCAAAGATGTTTGAGATATCGTGCAGGTTAACAAACTACCAAACTTGTAGTAGAGATAAAAGCTTCTTTGTTACAGTCTAAAGCAGGACAACAGGACATATGAACCTTACTACAAAGCCCAAACTAAATCGAGACAGCTGGGTCAGCGGCGAGACACGAGTCCAGAGCAGAGGTCAGACTTCTGTGGGACGGAACGTGATTAGAGCTAAACCTGAATCAAAGACGACATGAAAGACATGCTCTGCGGTCAAAGCAAGAGATCCCTCAAAAGAAGGATGAGACGGCAACAAGAAAAAGAGGTAATACCTGTAAACCTAGACAGACACAGTCTGCTGACCATGAGGCAGTTCAAATCCTGATTTGGCCTGTTTACCACTCAGCCGTAGCAGCCATTGTAAGGCGCTGCTACACTTTGATGATCCCCAAACAGTAGAGTTTTTGTTTTCCACTGCCACACATTTTATAAAATCCTCTGTGTGCAGTGTTGGGTTGACAAAGTGAAAAGAAAATTACCTTAAAAACGTTTTGTTACTGTCATTGTTTTGATAAATGACAAATACTTTCTTTTTTGTCTGAACAATAAGGTGTGTGCTGATGATAATTCTCAGCATAATTATACTACATTTCTTCTGTTACCTATTGCAAATGTATGAAAGAGGCTCAGGGTCAGGCAAATATGCATTTGGAGAATAAAGTAATAAAGTCAAATTGTTGAAATGTAGAGAAAAAGGTTGGACTTTCAGTATTAGTGCCAGGCATGAGGCTACAAATTGTTCAGTCTTTCATGTGTTTTGCATTTTGATAATGAAGTAAAAACGCTGACAATCAAGTCAAAATGTTGAAAAATAAAGCTAGAATGTTAAGAACTAAGTTGAAATACCATTTTGAGAACAAAGACGAAATGTCGAGAATCAAACTACTTCAACATTTCAACCTTATTCTCCACAATTCTTCCTGCTCTCATGTTTTTCACCTTATACTCTTCTGAAGCACCTGTTACTCTTCCACAAGCTTTTCTACACATTTGCAGTAAAGATTTTGTGACAGAAACAATAAAATACAAAATGTTTCTCGTTACTATATGCACCAAACACTGAAAGCAGAGTAGTTGGTCTCAGCAGCGCTGCACTACTTAATCACCAATGACTGCCAGTTGAATTCAGCTGGCAGAATGAATGAATGTATTTTTTATTTTTTTTTACCTGTGTGTGACCTGAGTTCCTCGCAAGCTGGACATGGTCTCCTCCAGGTTTTGCCGCAGGTCTGCTATGTTTTTGACGGTACGCAACCGCCTGGTCTCTGGGTCTTCACCTGAGTGAGACAAAAAAGAAACAAGCTCAGAAATATTGAGCGGCACGATAAGCCAAACAGAGACAGATCCTGTTCTGTAAGTGATCACCCACCTGAAAGGTCCTCGATGGAGAGCTGGCTGGTCTTGGTGAGGGAACCGTCTCCACCTCTTCCTCCTGAGCCGGTCTCAATGCCCCCTGTTTCCTCACCGTCTGTTTGGGATCTGGGGAAAACAAATCGTTCGAGGGGTCAAAGGGGGGGGGG